GTACTCCACAAGTTATATATTTGGAAATTTGTGTAACACCAACTGTACATTAATTAGCATACTTTTTGTCAATCTCAGCTTATATTGAACTTACGCCACCAGTTCACACCATTGAAGATAGTGAAGATGCTGGGCTTTACACTCTTGATATTTTTTGTGGGACATTAGATAACAAGTACAATTTACAGTAAATTGCCTCGATTTGCAGAGTCCATGAAAATCACACCTCTGCCCTCTCTGCTTTTGGACACGCAGTACGAGCCAACCGTGATCTCATTTGAATTTTTCATCCGTTAGGTTAGTTCTCCCTTCGGCTTCTTCACCGCAACTTGTGATCACAGGAGCAAAGTTGAATTTAAAAACCGGCATGTTTCATTAATTTGAACCACAGTCTATGGCAAAGATGTTATGCAAAGGAGACTAGTCAATTTGTTTAGATGTTATGCAACTGCTACGCACTCATATTATCCTCCAATGTACTGAACACCCAGGAAGTTGGTTTTCACGAACAGTCTCCAAGGGAATAGGAAGTAGCTCTTTCAATTTCGAATAAGGGTGAGTATTCTGGAGGTGCTGGATCCGGGAAAAAAACAACTCAATTGGAATCCCAGACATTAACACGAGTAGGATATCGATGGATGATTAAGTACATTTATTTGAACTGGTTCGAAACACGTAGCATCGCCAAACTGTGCTCTCCACCATTAACTCTAAAGCATCAAGTGACGACCATTTTGATGTGTGCTACTCTGGAATGCAGCGTACGGCTCTCAATATTATTCACCATGTGGGCATAAGTACAGGGCTAGGAAGCTGGCGAGTCAGATAGAATTTAATCCTGAATCATGTCTCTTTGTTAAATCGAGAAAGCGGTTTTCATATAGCATCGTCGAGATTCCATTGACTCTATTCAGTGTACAATAATCGCTCCCTCTCAGACTCGCATGGGTCTCCGCAGAGCATCTCGGAGACCCATGCGAGTCTAAAAAGGACTTCAGGTACGGGCCACAGTCCAGCAGTCGAATTCACTTCATGCAGTAGTATTTGTAGTTGTGGTGACTGACATGCGAATCTAGTTGAAGTGCGCCACCTGCACAAGTGGTACGACCTCGGGGTTCTCAAATTCGAACTTCAAAACCACGTGAAGATGATCGCCACAGTGTCGAATTATCCATGAACTGTATTTTCCAGATGGTTGCAGACCATGTGCGGTATCAGTTCGTTCCCAGTACTATCCGTGTACTAGAGTAGCCAAGTTGTCCATAATGCCCGGTCACAAAACACTAGGATTCTTCCTCTTGCTCTAAATCATTTCCAATAGCTCTTGTTTGGATATGGTCTTTGAGAATTTCCCTTGCGTTAAACCGAAAAGCATTTAGCATAAAGCTTGGCATCTGATTCACGCCATCTACTATGACAATGCAGATACATTTTTAACCTCCCTCCTACACAAATCTCGGAAAGAATTGTAATTCATGACAAAGACAACCGGAAGTCAAGAGTTTCTGTTGCACATTTCTTCCCTGCTCAAGTCCGGATTCCTGAGCAATTGCCATCACCAAGTTGGCGACATTAGCTTCACCTAAACTATACCAACTTTTATGTGCAGTGTCTTTCAGTGTCATCTTCCGCTAAGGTTTCCAACCAAAGCACAACAGATCCGACCTTGTCATAAGACCCGGATATGTCCCACTTTCCATTTTGTACCCTGCGTGCCCTTGTCCACAACCAAATTAATGAACAGCTCCAGGAATAAGAGTAAATGGGTGACTTCCTCCAATGTACTGAAGTGAGCAGTACCTCTAACATTGTTCCTCAAAGTGCTATAATGTAAATTACAAACCTTTCTCGAATCTTCACGGCATTTTCCTCTTTTGATTTTCTAGGTGTCCATGGCGAACCCATGATATATGTCAAATCTTGTAAAATACAATAAGACGATTTGAATTACATTCTTATTGTGGGAAGCTAAGATTGCTTCCCACGCAAAAATAACTAGATTTCGCCATTCTAATTAGTTTACACTACTTCTTTGCTAGGAAAATTGGTGGAAAAAAGAGAATGTAAATAAAACTAGAAAATTATGTGGGAGTAGTTGTGATAAAATGGTAATAACGCTAATTGAAAAGTTAGATGGACACGGAACCGGTATATGGTTTCTTGAATTAATTTCAACCCAGAAGAATGAGTAAGATAGATTAGATCCGAACCTTTTAAGTATAGATCTAGGGCTTCTAAAATACTTGGATAGGCTCTGCAAGGCTAAGTTAGGTACGACAAGCTGCTGGTGGCAGAAAGCGGTGACCAAGTGGTAGTCAGATATGGAATTCTCGGCAAGGTAAATCTTGGAATTTCCGGTGGCGGCTAGGGTTTTGGAGACAGTCATAGCCGCCGCAGTTAGGTTTAGAGTTTTTAGTATTTAACCACTTCTAGGGATTTTGTATGAGACTCTTCTTTTGCTTGTTTATGCGACTTGGTTCTGTTTTGCAGCTCTTGCGTTTTCTGTGTGTAACGTCAAGCCTACGTTCTTGCCGGTTTTGTGAGTGCTGCAGGGCCGGATCCGTATGTTTGTGAAAAAAAGTCTCGGAATTTGTTTCCAAAAGAACATGTGTGATGAATGTGTTCTAGTGTGTAGTGGGAGTGTCTCCTCATTGTCGTGTTCACCTATATAACGTCTGTGTGGGATAGCCACTGTTAGGACTGGGTAGTATCATCTGAGGTGCTATGGGTAGAAAAACTTTAGATATACGCTAGTCTGAACTTCTGATGAGGTTCCACAATACACGGATGGGGTAATTTAGGAAATGGCACGAGACTCCCAGTTATACTATATCGTTCAAGCCCCACTCTGAGTCGTAATCCGGATGTCATTGTAGTCCTTGGTAGGAGTTTGTGGATATTTTGTGCGTGACTTGCTGATTTGGATCTAACAACCCGAAATAATTGTGAAAAGGTAACTGCACCTCTCGTTTTATTTTTTTATTTTTTATTTTCATAGTGTCTCTTCCGTCATTTTGATCGTTGGAAGGGTAGGAGCCATCCTTCCATAAGACCAATGGCGCCCCATGATATGAAGGCAAAACATCTATTTTGTCACTTGTTACATTTGTTAACCCTTGGTATCCGGAAAGCTATAAGGATCTGACCAGTACGTCTAGATCCGATTTTTTAAGCATCATTTGTGAAGCTTCAATCTCAGGTCATTTGGATTGTACTTTAGATTTGTTGTCAATAATACCACGTTTTGAAACTCCTCCTACTCCTTCTACTTCACACGATTTCCGGAATGAACACTTGAGTCTCTATTAGTGAGATATCTTTACAAAAAAAAACTTGCTAATTGAATGCTTCGAACGATATCATGTTCCGACACTTATATAGATTTTTAAAGATGGTGGTACTTTGTTTGATAATCTATCAAATATAGTCAGATTTTTGTTAGACTATATAAATCTTGATATTTTACAAGATCTGAACAAATATATACAACTAGGTATGCATTTATACATGATGATTTTTGTCTTAACTGAAAATTTAATTCACAAAAGTGCAGAGTTTAATAAAAAAAAGAAGCCAAATATGCAAAGGCAGCATAAGAAGCAAAGAAGATTATTAGTTGAGTAAACCTCTCAAAAACTTTAAGGTAAGAATCAATATCTTGGATTAAAATCTTGTAAGGTTGAGTTATCTTTCCGTTTTACAGATGTCTTACAAGACACTTAAAAATATAGAAATAATACCATATCAGCTTTGCTTTTAGTCATCAATCAACAAGACGATATAAGTTTATTCTAAAGGATTATTTTTCTATCACAACATCAAAACAACAATGAATAATACAAGGAATAAACTCAAGACGTCAAAAAAATTCTCTTATCATGTATAAATTTTTCAAAAAGTTGAGCATTATTGATCAAAATATAATAGACATCAAACTTGATCTGAAATCTTTCAGGCATGAATTTATTTTAAAAATCATCCACTTCAAGGAGAAATACTAGATGTTTAAGATTTGTTGTGATGAGAAAGATAGCTCAAGAGCCTCAAACAAGAGAAGAGTTTGTTATATTTATCAACTTGCTATTTAACTAGATTTTGCAAATATAATATAACTATATTCACAATTTCTTCTTGGAAATCTTTCTAGTGTTTTTTGTTGAAAAATAAAAGATTTGTGATCCACAATCTTGTCCACACTCATAGCTTTCACCTTGTCTTTGACTTGATAATCTTGTAACAATAGTCATCACATTTAGTGTATTTCGTTATGTCAAACCCAGCTCTCCCAATTTTTCATGAGAGCTATGTTGTTTAAGTTCATAATTTGAGGCTATCCTTGTGTCGGAAAACCAGTTTCTTTTTACTTTTGTTAGAAAAAAACCTTGAATCTTGTAAAATGAGATAAATAATGTTAATTATAATCAAACTACCTAATGCAACCACGTTTCATCTAATATACCAAAACACACTTCACCTATTTGGTCTTAAATCCTACGGATCATTTGTTGATATCTTTTTGTTGTTGTTGTCGCTACTATGCTATTAATATCGCATAATACTAACGAGGTCTGTAAACTAAACATTTTACAAGCAGGTAGGATCTTGAATGCCTTAAAAAAATATTGACTTCCTTTTTCCCATGATAATAGGTACTCTATGTAATCAACTCCTAGTGAACTAAGACTTTGGATTATGCACCAGACCTCCTGTCCATGGGTGGCTAATTATCAAATTCTCTTTCGAAATCTTGCATTTAGTATTCATCCATTGGATTCACATCGTACCTTGAATCTCTCATCCGATCCGATGGATTGATCCCATGGAATCCCTCTCGCTCACATAAGCTTAGATGTGGAACATAACTTGCACCCTCTCTAATGACACAGAGGGCTTTTTCAAATCATCCATGGCATTAACTGTTAGTGCAACATCTTCTAGGCTGCGTGCACACCTCTTCGTGGCATATAAAACCTGGATCACATGCAAAGAATCTCACTTGCTTCGTAGAATGTGACAGGGTTTTAAATATACAAGAAGCCCACTCTGAGCTTGGAACTTTTTGACTTCATACAATAGACGTTTCATACGCATTTTTCTACCTCAGTTCTGTGCACAATTTGGTAAGATACTGATCTTGCTGTGGCCTAGTTATCGGATGACTTGACCATGTAGACTGACTATCCACAGTCTGCCACTTCCTAGCTGTGTTCTAATGCTACATGTAGTATCTGTTACAACACCCAAGAAAAGTCAGAAGGCGATTTGCCGAACCTGATGATCAATTCAAAGAAGAGGTCATAAGTTTTCCATCACGGTCGAGAACACATAATCAAAGTCATCCTTGAAGTATTTGGCACATGCTTCTTGCAGAGTTTTAGCATCATATCTCTTGGACAATCTAAACATCTCTGTAATATTTTTGGCGCTGATTCTCCCACAGAGCTCTTCAGCACACACGTCTCTCAGGTGACTGATTTCGTACTTATGGGCAACTTTGAGTACCTCGTCAGGAGGGATTTCATCTGTGAAATTGATGTCCGCTGTATAACAATAATTGATCACTGCCCTCATCACCGGGTACGAGGCATCGTCTATAGGAATGAGCCCGGTCTCTTTTTCCAGCATCCCACAGTCAAACATTCTGCAAAATACAGCTGACTTTCCAGCCTGGTCGGACATGGAAAAAATGAGGATTCACGCCCTCATCATCCACTCATAAACAGCAAAAGCTATGTTCCTGAAGTTTGAGTTAAGACATCGTGGTTCCTAAGTAGCAAAAAAACCTGTTCTAATTGCCTGTGTGAGTGTCATCTTGTACTACCAGCACTGCGCTGCGGCTGCTATGGTTGTTTAGTACAGAAAATGTCATCAGATTCTTTGATAACCAAAAAATCATGAGCTCACATAAGATCGAACAACATCTGAAGCCGGATCTGAACGGAACTTTGGAAATGGCGGCAGCACACTGATCAGAAGGGGGGGTCTGGTTACTTACCAGAATGTAGCGATGGGCATGAATCATGTCACATCCATGAACCACAAAAGCCACGTCTCCTTTGAAGATCTCCATGGAAGAGTCAGGGTCTTGGAGTTTGAGGAACGCCAGCCTCTTGCTGAGTCTGCTCTGCACGAGTTTATAGTCCGACTCCTCCTGCCGAACCCTGTTCCAGACCTCAAGGACTTCTCTCTTGTGGCGTTTTTCGCAGTTTTCGCATCTAGGAGTTTTGAAATCCTTGAGGTGGGGGCGGCAGATTTTACAGGCAAATTGCTCGTAGCATTTGGGGCACTCCATGGTTTTCTAGTAGTCCACATGCGAGGAGATCGTCGAGCTCATCGGGACAATGAGACCTATATTACGCGGCAGACTGTTGTTGACCATCTTCATGTTGTTGTTGACCTAAGACTTTATTTTATGCACCAGACATCCTTTCCATTGGTTGCTGCCTTATAAAATTCTGTAACGTAAGTCTTGCAGATGTTCTTCATTCATTGGATTTGCATCGTCCTTTGAATCTCTAATCAGATCCGATGTAATCCAGGATGGATCCGCTCACACAAGCTTAGACTTGGAAAATAACTTGCACCTTCTCTCATGAAACAAGCGCTGTGTTGTATAATCCATAGCATTAACTCATAGTTCATAAAAAGTGGCATTTGCCACTTTTGACACCTTTTCGTTAAATGTGGAACCCCAAATTTATTAAAAGTGTAATTTGTGTTGTTTGTCTTGAAATTTTTTGTGATAGTCTTGAAACTATAAGAGATTGAGATTATTTCATGAGAACGGAAGAGGTTGTTTCTTCGTTGTGGCTAACTTAGATTCCTCCTCATGTTATGTTCAAGGGACACCTAAAGCCATCAAAATCTAACGAGAATTTAGAAGAGTCCATGAATAGACAGGATGATAATTCGTCTTGAGTATATTCAAAGCACATAGAGCTAGTACTTTGAGAAAAAATGAGTTCATGGATAGTAAAGATAAATATATTAGACTTCATCTGAATGGTGACAACTTCCGGAATGCACGTGAGATCTATTATTACTTAAAACCTCAAGTGAAAATGAGTAACATCACATGTCTTCAATACTAGGACAGGAAAGAAACTTAGTTTCGTGACGAGAATATTCTTACATTAGAGTTTTAGAATACCTTCATTGTGTATGTAATACTATTTTCTTCCGAAAATTACATACTGTCTTCAATCCTAGTATCGGAGAGAAACTTGATTTTATGACCTGAATATTCTGGCATTACAGTTTTAGAAAACTTTAGCGGCGCTCGTAATACTTTTTTGTTCCCAATATTTCATCCATTAGATGATCATGCACTACTTCGATTTTTTTTTCCCCAAAATTACATCCATTAGATGATATGCACTAAGTCGATTTCTTTCTAAAAAGCAGAGATGCAAGGATTCTCTTCTCAGTAACTTACCGCGTATTGACGGTTGCTTGGTTGGAATGATAACATTTTTCCGTTTTCAACTTTAGGCAGTGCTTGCAAATTCTTAAAATTTTAAACCTTAAAGTTCAATTGCAACCAAAGAATCATTACAGAAAAATGCTTAATTTTGGCATCTCCCGATTTTAATTGTGCAAAAGGTGTCCTTTTTTAAGAAAATGCCACTTTTAATGAGATCTGCATTCTCTGTTACTGCAATATCTTCTAGAAAATGCACAATATCCATCTTGAGTGCTCCACAAACTGATATGTATCCTAGAAATTTGCCGACCAAACCTTAAATGATCCAAGATACTACTACTCACTCCCATCGTATATTGAACTGCACCAAACAACGCGAAGATGCCCACTCTGAGCTTGGAACGTTGAATTCATACAATAGAGGATTCAGACGCATTTTTCTACCAGTTCTGTGCAGAATTTGGCAGGATACTGATCTTGCGGCGGCTTAGTTATCGGATGACTTGACCATGTAGACTGACTATCCATAGTGTGCCACTTCCTAGCTGTGTTCTAATGCTAGATGTAGTATCTGTTACAACACCCAAGAAAAGTGAGAAGGCGATTTGCCGAACATGATGATAAATGCGAAGGTGAAGAGGTCATAAGTTTTCCATCACGGTCGAGAACACTGTATCGAAGTTCCCCTTGAAATATTTGGCACATGCTTCTTGCAGAGTTTTAGCATCATATCTCTTGGACAATCTCAACATCTCTGCAAGATTTTTGTCGCTGATTTTCCCACCCAGCTCTTCACCACACACGTCTCTCAGGTGACTGATTTCGTACTTATGGGCAACTTTGAGTACCTCGTCAGGAGGGATTTCATCTGTGAAATTGATGTCCGCTGTATAACAATAATTGATCACTGCCCTCATCACCGGGTACGAGGCATCGTCTATAGGAATGAGCCCGGTCTCTTTTTCCAGCATCCCACAATCAAACATTCTGCAAAATACAGATGACTTCCCAGCCTGGTCGGACATGGAAAAAATGAGGATTCACGCCCTCATCATCCACTCATAAACAGCAAAAGCTATGTTCCTGAAGTTTGAGTTAAGACATCGTGGTTCCTAAGTAGCAAAAAAACCTGTTCTAATTGCCTGTGTGAGTGTCATCTTGTACTACCAGCACTGCGCTGCGGCTGCTATGATTGTTTACTACAGAAAATGTCATCAGATTCTTTCATAACGAAAAAAATTATGAGTTCACATAAAGTCAAACAAATATATGAAGCCGGATCTGAACGGAACTTTGGAAATGGCAGCAGCACACTGATCAGAAGCTATGGAGGGTTCTGGTTACTTACCAAAATGAAGCGATGGGCATGAATCATGTCACATCCATGCACCACAAAAGCCACGTCTCCTTTGAAGATCTCCATGGAAGGGTCAGGGTCTTGGAGTTTGAGGAACGCCAGCCTCTCACTGAGTCTGCTCTGCGCGAGTTCATGGGCCGACTTATTACACTGAAAAGTCGAGTCGGCGCGCTCGACTTCATACTTGTGACGATCTTTGCAGTTTTCGCATCTAGGAGCTTTGAATTCCTTGAGGTGGGGGTGGCAGTGGTTACAGAACAATCGCTCGTAGCATTTGGGGCACTCCATGGTTTTCTAGTAGTCCACATGCGAGGAGATCGTCGAGCTCATCGGGACAATGAGACCTATATTACGCGGCAGAATGTTGTTGACCATCTTCATGTTGTTGTTGACCTAAGACTTTATTTTATGCACCAGACATCCTTTCCATTGGTTGCTGCCTTATAAAATTCTGTAACGTAAGTCTTGCAGATATTCTTCATTCATTGGATTCGCATCGTCCTTTGAATCTCTAATCAGATCCGATGTAATCCAGGATGGATCCGCTCACACAAGCTTAGACTTGGAAAATAACTTGCACCTTCTCTCATGAAACAAGCGCTGTGTTGTATAATCCATAGCATTAACTCATAGTTCATAAAAAGTGGCATTTGCCACTTTTGACACCTTTTCGTTAATTGTGGAATCCCAAATTTATTAAAAGTGGAATTTGTGTTGTTTGTCTTGAAATTTTTTGTGATAGTCTTGAAACTAGAAGAGATTGAGATTATTTCATGAGAAAGTAAGAGGTTGTTTCTCCGTTGTGGCTAACTTAGATTCCTCCCTCATGTTATGTTCAAGGGACACCGAAAGCCATCAAAATCTAACGAGAATTTAGAAGAGTTCATGTACAGACCAGATAATTATTCACCTTGAGGATACTCAAAGCACAAATAGCTAGTACTTTGAGAAGAAATGAATTTATTTTTCCGGATTTTAACGATGAGGATATTAGACTTCAACTGAATAGTGACAACTTCCAAAATTCACGAGAAGTGAATTTTATTACTCCTCAAAACCTGGGTTGAGTATGAGTAACATCACATGTGTTCAATACTAGGATAGTAAAGAAACTTGGTTTCATGACCAAAATATTATGGCATTAGAGTTTTAGAAAATATTGGCGGTGTATGTACAATAGAACATGTCTGAGTTAATACTTGCAATACCGGGGTTTTGTATTAAGTTCTACAAAATATTAATAGAGAGAGTGTCAATAAATAATTCTCCGTTTGCGTTATTTGTAATATCCGCAAGCCATGGGATAGTAGCAACCCAAAACCACAACTGCAACCACAACGAGAACCACAACACAATAGCTTTAAAGGGATTTACCAATATGAACATGTACAACAAGGTTCGGATAGTTCTTTGTGAGCACTCGAGGTGATCAAGTACCTCGAAGAGCAGGTTCAAGAGATTCGATACCGCAACCGAATGTGAGGAAACACAGGAGGAAATTATGAGGGAACTTTCCACCAATTCTGTGCCGGAAGATGAAATTGAGGCGAAAGACAATCAAAAATTTGTTCCCATGAAAGCAACTGAAGCAATGCAGTGTGCAAGTTTGTTGCAACAGTTTTGGATGTAGCAAGACATTGTTGAACATGAGATGCTTACTACCATCAGACAGTCAAGGACAAGATGAACATTATGAGGTCTAGCAAGGTGGTTCAGAAGCCAATCTAAGAATATTTCTCCAAGGTTTAGCTGCCCAAATGTATAAAGTTTGTGTCAAATCTATGGGTGTCATAGTGATTATCAATATGAAAAATATTGGGTACTACCTGTGGAGTATCAGTTATTAATAAATATATGAGTCCGACTTGGTACTGGACTGCACATATTAATTATCATAGGTTATTAATTTAGGTTCTATTGTAATACTCTTTTGTTCCGAAAATTACATCCAGTAGATGATCGTGCACTACTTCGATTTCTCTCCACAATCGGCTCAGAAACGCAGATGCATGGATTCTCTTTCCAGTATCTTACAGCATATTGATGGTTGCCTAGTTGGGATAATAACATTTTTCCGTTGTCAGCCACTCACTTCGTAAACTTTACCCAGTGCTTGCAAACTCTTCAAAATTTACGCTTTAAATCTCAATTGCAACCAAAGATTCAGTATAGAAAAAGGTTTAATTGTGAAATCCCCCATTTTAAATGTGGCAAAGGTGTCATTTTTTAATAAAATGCCACTTTTAATGAGGTCTGCATTGACTTTTACTGCAACATCTTTTAGAAAATGCACAATATTCGTACCGAGTGCTCCACATATTCTTATGTATACTAGAATATTGCCGACCCAACTGAAAATGATCCAATATACTACTAACCACTCCCATCGAATATTGAACTGCACCAAACCACGGGAAGATGCTGGACTTGCCAACTTTTGGTGGGACGTTTTCTAAGCAGTACAAAGCACAGGACGATGCCTGAACTGCAAACTCGTACTGCAGAGGCTCTGAGCACGATCATACTGCTATTGTCAGATCTTGATCTCCTGCCTTGCATTGCTATTTTAGTTCTGCATCCCTTGTACTCTGAACATGCCACTGGACCAGATAGAGTCATCGTCCGATACATTGATACATGACATGGTACAATCTTCGGAGTAGGTTTTATTTATGGTCAGATAAGTGTTAGGCTGTGTGCACACCTCTTCGTGGCATACAAAACCTGTATCACATGCAAAGAATCTCACTTGCTTCGTAGAATGTGACAGGGTTTTAAATATACAAGAAGCCCACTCTGAGCTTGGAACTTTTTGACTTCATACAATAGAGGTTTCAGACGCATTTTTCTACCTCAGTTCTGTGCACAATTTGGCAGGATACTGATCTTGCGGTGGCTTAGTTATCGGATGACTTGACCATGTAGACTGACTATCCATAGTGTGCCACTTCCTAGCTGTGTTCTAATGCTAGATGTAGTATCTGTTACAACACCCAAGAAAAGTGAGAAGGCGATTTGCCGAACATGATGATAAATGCGAAGAAGAGGTCATAAGTTTTCCAACACGGTGGAGAACACTGTATCAAAGTGCTCCTTGAAGTATTTGGCAGATGCTTCTTGCAGAGTCTTAGCGTCATAGCTCTTGGACAATCTCAACATCTCTGCAAGATTTTTTTCACTGATTCTCCCACACAGCTCTTCAGCACACACGTCTCTCAGGTGAATGATTTCGTATTTATGGGCAACTTTGAGTACCTCGTCAGGAGGGATTTCATCTGTGAAATTGATGTCCGCTGTATAACAATAATTGATCACTGCCCTCATCACCGGGTACGAGGCATCGTCTATAGGAATGAGCCCGGTCTCTTTTTCCAGCATCCCACAGTCAAACATTCTGCAAAATACAGCTGACTTCCCAGCCTGGTCGGACATGGAAAAAATGAGGATTCACGCCCTCATCATCCACGCATAAACAGCAAAAGCTATGTTCCTGAAGTTTGAGTTAAGACATCGTGGTTTCTAAGTAGCAAAAAGACTTGCTCTAATTGCCTGTGTGAGTGTCATCTTGTACTACCAGCACTGCGCTGCGACTGCTATGATTGTTTAGTACAGAAAATGTCATCAGATTCTTTAATAGCGAAAAAAAATATGAGTTCACAAGCTGGATCTGAGCGGTACTTTGGAAATGGCAGAATCACACCGACCTGAAGCTATGGAGGGGTCTGGTTACTTACCAAAATGAAGCGATGGGCATGAATCATGTCACATCCATGCACCACAAAAGCCACGTCTCCTTTGAAGATCTCCATGGAAGGGTCAGGGTCTTGGAGTTTGAGGAACGCCAGCCTCTCGCTGAGTCTGCTCTGTGCGAGTTCATAGGCCGACTGCTGCTCAGCGAACTTGGTCCTCAGAGTGATTCGGAGGGTTGCAAGCTCCGTCTTGGCGTCATCGATTTCTTTCTCGTAGCGTTTTTTACATTTTTCGCATCCGGGAGCTTTGAAAACGGGGTCACCCTTGTAGTATCTGCAGCAGTAGTCACAGAGCAATCGCTCGTGGCATTTGGGACAATCCATTGTTTTCTGATAGTCCACATGCGAGGAGATCGTCGCGCTCATCGGGACAATGAGACCTATATTATGCGGCAGAATGTTGTCGACACTCTTCGTGCGCTGCACGCTTTGATGACATCGAGAATTCTCCATGAAACTGCGCAGAATTTTCAGCCAACAACCGCGAGGCTACTGCAGCTGCAGATAGCTCAGAAAGTCCGTGTCTATGGAACTTGCACATTTTGTAATCATCTCCGAGGATGAACTCGCCGTCCGTGACCCTATGGCTGCAACAAGCCAAGCCAGTGACATCGTCCGGTTGTATCAGATGGTTGATCCAGTACGAAATCCACCACACCTTCGAGGATACTTCTGTTCTAGTTGCTGGCGAGGACGAACATGAGGGCTCATGCTATAACGCTCTCGTCGGTTAATCTCATGCCTACTGACGACGGTAAGAGGAATAATCCATGAAATCTTTCATCTTACCGTCGTCACTGGGCACGAGACACATCGCTCACCCACTTCAGATACAACGACTTATGTCCACTCGGAACACGCGAGCTGCAGGAGAAATTACCGAGCAACAACAGGGCATGGTCCATGGTCACTCAGGATGAAGGAAATTTCATCATTTGCATCTGTCGATGTTCGGTTCGAGAGTTACAACAGGTTCAGCGTCAGGGAGTGAGCCAGCTACGAATGAGCGGAAGCAGAAGCAGCATAAAAATAAAATCAGTGATCGGCTGAGACACGAAACTGGAGATGCGATCGTTATTTTGCACGTACAGCGACCATCAGCGTTTCGGAAGCGATTCATGAAAGCACGGGAGAGTCACTGGAACCATGCGTATCTCTCGTTGGTTGAGTAACCTGTCCGTAGGCACATCATTACTGAAACCAGTACCCATCTAACTACTGCTGCTGCGTAGCCAGTTGGTTAAAATCACCCGGATCATGATAAAAATCACCATTTCCTTGTTCTCCAGAGAAACAACAAAATCGAAATGACTATCTTTTGCTCTTCCCAGCAGTAGTGATATTGGAAACGTTTCCTAAGTCGGTCAATTACCTGCATAAATCACATCGCAATCAGAGGCAAGTCCACGAAGAAGATTCTTACCTCTTCGTTCATGGATCTGAAGCCGGACTGAGATTTTTTCAGTACCGACTTGCAACTTGAGTCATGACTTTCACTAAAGATTGCAGAAAATCTACTGGGATTCATGCCCTGCACATGTCTTACCTATCCACACGGAGTTGGCACGGAACGTCCATCTGTTACCTCAGATGTTTCTCATGAGTGCGTCTGCATCCGCATCTGCACTTGCACTTTCATTGAAGCAGAGCCAGGTCCAACCTTGCACTACCTGCCTGCCTCCCTCCTCCCTTGCTACCGTGCTCGCTGCTTGCACGCGCTCTTGAGGCCTGCTGTGAGCTTCCAAGCTACTTCCATTCCACAAACAGAATAGCAAACAGGGTAAGCATAATGTGCTACTTCCATTCCACAAACAGAATGGCAAACAGGGTAAGCGTAATGTGCAGGCGAAGTCTAATCAGGATATCACATGTAGCTAAGCAGGCGAGCTGAATATACTCTGACCAGCCCAGCAGCATTTCCCTTTCGACTGTTTTGGAATCGCCATAATTCATATTCAGCACTGATTCAGGCCAGTCATTGAGTGCCCACTCATGGCTCAATTCACACATGATTGTGTTGATGTGAAACTGTTGGCTGTTACCCGGAGGGAATGCCTTGAGCTTGAATGAAAAGTAATGACAGTACAAGGATGTTACATGTGCCATCGGGACTCAAACCAGTGGCTTGATAGGTCTTTAGATGCAACCGTCCCCGCTGGCTACGGGGCTGGAACTGATCTTTCCGCAAGGAAAGATCTGTCTCGGTTCACAGTGGCCAGGAGGAGGAGAGACGTCGCTGTGGTGCTGTATGTGCCTACAGAGTTGATTTGACTGCGGGAAACCAGTGATTGTTATCGTGGATCTATAAATCCATTGAATCAGCCAAAAAAGAATTTGATTTATGGGTTGTGCAAGGCCAGGATTCTCGTGGTCGGGGTTGATGTCGGAGGGTTGGCTCCGTTGAGGTGTTGGGATTTTGGTTGTCCGACCATTGTCGAGCTCTTTCTCTGGAGATCTGAGTTGCTCCATGTAAGGCTGCACCGGTTTCGCCCTGATTAGGAGGGTCATTGTAGCTGGAAAAGTCTCTCGCTCGACAGGTAGCTGCCACATTGCGGCATGAGAAGGCAGTTCTGTGTTCGAAATCGCAAGCTATTTGCACCCGATCCTCCTTCTGGGCCTCGTTTTTGCATCATGCATAAGGGCTGGTCAATAACAAGACTCTCCAGTGTTTGCACTTCCCCTGCATTCTGACTATCGGCTTGTCCCAGCATGAAATCACAGTTCATAAAACTGGTACGGCCTTCTTCAGATGCGAGCTCAACTCAGTCTCCTGAGTTTCATGGTTCCAACAATTCTCTCGACGTAAACGGTTCGCGTGTACGTAAACACCTCACTGCTAGTTTCTTATCCGAGCATGCGAATGCTGTAGACACGTGCACTCCCCCTCAACCCTCCCCCACCCCGTTGGTTACCCAACCCAACCAACCAGATCAGGGTAATCGAGGCTGGTCTGAGAGAGCTGTGCTCTGTCTCAGTCTCAGAGCACAGCTCTGAGACTGAGACAAGAACAGTGCTTCTGATTTTGGCAGCTGAAACATTAGAACGTAATCCAAAATGTATATATAAAATCAACTACACCAATGGCTTGCAGTGTTCAAGCGCAAGACTGAATATCGTCCAATAACTTCTCCGCTATTTGCAGAATATTATCATGTGATGGCACCTTCATGAAGACACTTTCATTCTTGATATTCTGCTTGAAAGAAATAAATTTTGTAGCGAACTGTATCAATGCACGGCTTGTGAGACTTTCGGGACCACTGACCCCATGATTTTTTATTGGAGTACGAGTTTCTTTTCTTCATGTACTCGCTATAAACACACTAAAACTTTGAGCCCATCTAAGCATCTAAGCACGACAGTCGGTGCCTGGCTCTTGCATTCTGCTTCAAGGTTATACTGGTAGTACAGTTGGATCTGTGGCCCTGTTTTTGAAGTCCCGTATTTGTCATAAACGCTACATTTACGTTGTATGTAAAGCGGGACGGACGCGTTATGGTCTCATTACTTGGTAGTCTCCAGCATCCCGGGCAGTTTTTACTAGACAAGGGTGAAGAAGTTTAGATCGAAGCTTAAGGGGCGAAAAAGGAAAGGCAGAGCACGTGCCCTCACATTCAGTTGACACTGGATACTGGAGAATGAAAAGAGGTTAATATACTTCACTATTAGTACTTGACCAGACGACTATTTCAAGCTTCCGGTCTATAAACTGATATCTCGAAGATATCAGTTTTACATACCGATTTGAATCATCTCCTAATGTCTGTATTGGATGTATTGGATGAAGCGGGCTAACCAACCGATTTGATACATACTGAGCGAGAAAATGACCGAGGCACAATGATCGAGTCCTGATATGCTTTTTGATAAGCCTGAGTAAACTGAGAGTTACGAATAGGTAACATTAAACTTTAGTGTGTAATAAGTAGGGAAGTAGGCGGTGTGTTTATAAATAGCGATAGGTCCTAATTTGTCGAAGGAACTATTATCTGCACCACAACCCAGTAATACTAACATTAAGTTCATATCCAGAATTACACTGAAAATAACATGGTTTGATCCTTAACGCGCAGAAGGTAAAGAAGGATTAAGTAGAACTTGCTGTTTATGGTCAAGTAGTCGACCAGGGTCACTGCTTGGTCGTTGCAGGTGGGTGATTCACAACAGAGTAGATTATGCAAGCATTCGACAACATTCAGATGTAAAATGAGGCAGCCAACTTGAAGTTGGCAGGTTTATTATTACGTGCACAATTACGTACGTGGGTTCAGAAGTGTTTTGCAGTAGAGACTTCATATCTAAGCCCCGACTGGGTATGTCTGGAGCTGACTTTTCACTACTTATGGTTCCTTATGAATGCGAGTTTGTTACTATCCTGCGAGTTACTATCTATTCTGCGAGTTTGTTACTCTCCTGTCATTCTTTGTTCTACACGACAGAGACATCCTGAAGCTTAATCTTTTCTACTGGATTCGGCCTCTTTAGCTGAGGCTCCTCTCATTCGTGAACTCCGATAGAATTGGTAGCAAATTAATTTTAGTTCTGTCTGATTGGTTTTTAGTGCAGCTAGGGACTTGCTCAGCAGTTCGAGATCTAAAAGCAGAACATTCCAAATTTCAATTCTTCGACTATATAAGAAAACTCATTCAAGTCTGGTCAACTGAGAAGACAGCTGCAGGTTCCATTCATGTGCTTTTCTGCTGGTAATTCATTCTTGGTTTAATTAAGATAAGCCAGAATGTTGAACAAAGTGAATCTTTTGTTAGGTATACCTATGGTTCAGTTCATTGAGACAAGCCAGAAAGAGGGAACATTTGATGTGATGAAAGATTCCAAGGTTGAAATCAGGGCCGATCTCCATCTTCAATTTGCTCAAACCTATGGAATAAGCCGCAAGAGATGCTAAATTGTGATATGCGCTGTGGTTTTGTATTTTATTGACCTGAATCTCGAATCTCTTCAGAAAGTAGCATGGGAATCTTTCACTGGAGGCTGGAAAGTTGATCAGATCAGGTGGTGAATTCCTGCCAGAGCTAGTGTATCTTACATTGGATACACTAGCCCGAGGGTAGTATTATGGCGATGCCCTTGAGTGCCTATGCCCAATCACGAGCTAGCAGTTACAGTTCCGTGTTGCAAGCCGGTTGGTTATGTCCTTCAGGATCTGGTAATTCGAAATGTGGCACCCGCTCTCTCACTCTCTTCGACCGCGCATCCAGCCTGTTCATTTACTGGCAGGGGACGTGAGCCAGTCCCCTGATGACGCAAGTCTTTCGATTGGCTTCTTCCTGCAAGACAAGATCACGTGTCATCATGGACACAGCCAATTTTCCATGAGATACACCCACTGCACAACTCCAAGGAGCACGAAACGTTCATCAATGCTCTTCAAAGCAGAGCGCGAAATCCACTAATTTACTAGGCCAGTGTTATATTTCCTGGTTCCCAAGAATCTTAAATTGAATATTTACAAAGTGATTATCGCGCCATGAGTGCCTATGTGACCCACACATCTGAAGTTCTCTTGGTCCGAAAATGTAGTTGTGTGTCTGGATTAAGTTGTGACTGGGAAGTCATGGTCAGTATACAATATTTTGTGTATCGTCTCAAGCAGTGAACTTCTCGTGTAGCACTTTAACAGATTTTCACAAATCATACTTTCAATTGATGGATTAAATCATCAGAATTGTTCAGATAAAAGTTTGATGTAAATTATTCCATCATTACATTCATATTCATGATCATGTTCAAGTTTTGAAACTTACCAGCTTCTAAACGGACCGGAAATTGACCATTCTGTAAGATGAAATGAAAAATAATTAATTTCATGAAATGAAACCCAACTGTATAAAATTGATAAACTACATTTGACCAGTAGGCCTCGAGTAGGTTCTAAAGTGCTATTTTTATATACACATGTGTACGTATGCGTTTGATTTCAGTTTCTCGTTACACGTTCACGAGCAGCTCGAGGGACGCTGTCGAGACACGTGAACACAAAAAGAATCCTCATAATCTCAAATTTCCTCATTCTTATTGTATGTTATATCAACACTGCTTTTGAGCACTTAGAGGCAGCGAAGATTCAATAAATAGCCACAATGATAAGAAGACGTTCTTGCATGCAGCAATGTTGCTAACTTATCGTCTACAAATATATGGAAATTGATCACACAAATGTCCTGCATATATTGACCACCTATTTATGTTTTTTCTGGAAGACCTGGCCCAGATCTCAATATCTGACTTTAGAATCGCCTCTATATGTACTTCGAAGCGATGCAAGAGATCTTCCACTGTCTCAAAGAAACTGAATCAAAGCAAAGTGAATAGTCTAGTGATACATCCAAGAGTTCTAAGTATTCAGTATCACTGCAGACGAATGTACCTCTGTGAAAATTCGGTCACTCTCTCATGCTACCCAGATCAGTCCCGATGCCTGCACACAAAGCGATTTCTAGCAATAAGCAAAGTTATACCTTACGTTTGTCAAATTTACAATTGTACGAGGATTAAATACTAAGTCTCTGAATATCGCAATGCAGCTGCAAATTGATAGAGCAAAGCTGACCAGAATACGACGTCCATACACACTTCCAAGGTCAGTGCAGTGTTCTTAGGCCTAGCAGCTAGACATGCTGTGAACTCCAAGCTTGCTGCAACTCTGAGTTCACAAACGAAGCTGGTCATGGTCAATTATAGAGCATTGTGGTCCATTTAGAAAAACATTGTGGTCCAAAGAAGCTTATGAAGAAGAAAAGCTATGATGTTGTAGATTTGAAAATTCAGGACGGCAACCATATGCAGACAAGCTTAAACAAGACAGGAAGGGAGCGTTGCAGAGGGACAGAACACTAGCCCAGGGAGAACACAGTGAGGAGGAGCAGACGATGAAGGAACGGGTCAGATGTGCATCAACCAACTTCACGACCAATCACGACGTGCACCTTTACATTGTTGTGCACATAAACTTCCTGTGTAAACTCAGACACGGCAAGATCCGTATGCAGCACAGGTCCGGTACTTTTAGCATTCACTAAAATATAGATTACATGTGAATCAATGAAGATTACATGCTGCCGTCCCTAACAGTGAGTTTTTTCCCGGGACCTACCCGCTTCCCTGATTGTCATGCAACTTGACCATCTTGGCCTAAATTTCAGTATATGTTGTATTTTACCTGAACCTCGAAACTGAGATTGATCCCTTTCCCTATTTGCGCTCCAATGCAGCTCAAGACAAATTGGCGTAGAGTCAGACCATTAGTTTGTATTGAGACGACGAGGACTACTGGAGTTCGTTATCAGACGTGTCTCATAAAAGACTTGTGACCAAAGCAGTGGTTGTTCATGGGAGCTTTCTGGTTTTCTTGATCGATCTGATTTGTACGTTTGTGTCGTAAGGAGCTTGCAATCTGAGCCAGTAGCTAGTTGTCGATTGTGTGTGCATATGGTTTGCTGCAACAGTGAGGTGGGTTTTATGAATTTGGCTCTTGCTCTCAACCCTTTGCAGTAAGTCTTTGATTCTCTTATAACAGGGTGATTATGATTAGGTTCTTGTGATCAGAAGTGAAGCAGACGTGGACCCGTGCGTCACAATTTTTGTTGTGATTGTTGCTGAGCGTCAGTATATAAGGTCACAACTCCAGGTTTTTTCCTAACATACTCTCATCGTCTTCGTTGTTGTGTTTGTCTGAACTCTATCATGATCGCCTTCACAAGACATTCTAAGACTTAACTGCAGTTGCAGCTGTTGAAAGAGCAGCTGCAGGTTTTACAGATCTTGCTCCTGTCTCGCACGCATTCGTCTAGAACTATTGGAAGAAAGTTCAGCTCAACTATTATTCCTGCCATCATCACGTGATCATGGCGTTGGGCAAAATGTTCTCATTCCCTCATTACCTGGCCATCCATGGTCGAATGCTCAGCCGTTAGCTAGACAATGCATAACCGCGTTCAACTTGAGGCAATCTGCAGATTGCAGATACAGGAGAAGTGGAATGAAACTCTGAAGCCTGCAAAGCTGCTGTCTGCTCTGCGTCCTTACCTGTATATACACACCTGGTTACGACAATCACTGCCGATACTGGCAAGCTAGGTCCTCATTCATCTATGTCATTGGAAAGATTCAGTGCGCTCTTGACGTTTTGTGTGGAGAGAGGGGAGCAGAGATTGAGTATGCAGAAGAGCTGAATTTACTGCATCTACCACCGGCTAACTAGCGCTGAAAATTCATTCTCTGCCTCGCTCTCTCAACCCAAACCTTCCGGAGATTGGAGCCGCGGATAAATTCTAGGATAGTAAGTTGTAAGTCGACCCGACTTTTCTACGAATTAATGCGTGAAGCTAGCGACCAGGCGAAATTTGGACGCTAAACTGTCTGCTAGCTGGGTCTAGCCACGGGGATCAATATCAGTAATTTTGGAGTCAGTGACCATTGTAAACGTGGTGTTCTAGCTTTTATAATCTGTAGTCTCGATACAACCATCAGCTCGACCTTTGAGGTTATTTCATGTGAAGTGCCCTAAAGACAAATTTGAATTCTTGTCGCTTGACAAGAGTTCAAACACTGGACCAGCACATGTGAAATTTTTCGGTGCTGAGTCTTCGCTGTAGACGAATTTCCATTTGCTTTTGATGCTGATGATATCGATGCCCTACAGAATTTCAAAAGTCAAGGTTCAGTCTGTGATTGCGCTTGATGCCCAAGTGAGCGTAGACTGAAGCCTATGGCATCCACTGTTCGAAACGCCAAAAGACACATTAACCCTTTGCGACCGATGCACACTGTAACTTTTAATCTTCTGAGAATGGAAGGAGCAGAATCAGGAAAAGTTTCTCTTTAAGGATTCTTTCAATTTCAATTTCACGCGTCAAACCTGACGATGATTGCAGAGAATACAGAAGTTAAACGAGGCATTAGCAAGTAGTCTTGCTGGGCTCGGTTAATTCAGTCAATTTACATGCATACAGCGTTTTGTAAAGACCAGTAGCCTTCAGAGTATTTCCCTCAATGTTGAGGACACCTCCAACAGATGATTTGCTGTGTTGGGTAACTTTTGTGACTTTCTGAACCGTCGTTCAAGTAATAAATACAATATGATGATCTGTCAGATATGTCACTGGTTTTCTATGATGGTGTCAGTTCAGAGGGCAATCTCTTGATTCGGCTGTGCTACGGATGTGCTCCTCTTTGACGAATTAAATTCGCAGGATGTGCTGCTTCTTCTTCTTCTTTTCCCTCGTTCTTCTGTGCACGATATGCTGTCACTTCTTCGGTTGTTTTCTCTCAAATTCTACACAACTGAGCGACAATGCTTCAGCAGCCTGCGCCGACAAAGCCTGTGATTCTCACGACTGATAAATTCTCAAAAATACAAGACCTGCAGTCACTATGAACTCATCTAAACAACACTCAAGAAGCGAACCAGGGATGCTTTCAAACTTTGGAAAGTGCTCTAATTGTTGCAGTTGAAATTGTTTCTCATGTGCATATACCTGAATAATGGCGTCTGGTAATCTCAACTGCAGAGGACCTATTGGCACGAAAGTACGCACTGACCAGTCTTGTAATCCTCGGTTATGTGCTTTACTACCAAGTCACATATTGACTTGAACTGAAATATATTTATCATCGATCAGTCACTTAATTGTTGACTATGCAGCGACTACCACGTTCCATCAGGCTTGACATGTCGTCACTTGTTGTCATGTTATGTGCAGTGATTGCAACAAGTTACTTTCAGAAGTCGAACTCGTTAACAGCTGTTAGTTGAGAATCTTACGAGTCCGATCTGACCTGGAATCCCGAGTGACTTCAAACTTGTTGATTAGGAGTTTACCCTGAGGGTGCAAACTGGGATCCTTGTGTCACAACTTCTACTTGAACTTCCAGAGACATGAGGTTAGAAATTAAAAAGATTTTCTTCATGAGAACAGTGTCCACGAGGAATGAATGAACTGCAAGTGTAGAGACCAACAACCGTTACAGAAGTTGCCAGATCTGAGACTAACCAATGAGACCATCCATAGCCCAAAGATCAAACCCAAGGCCTTAATCTTGTTCCTACTCAATGTAGCAAGAAGAAGGATCAAGATCAAGACTCTACCGCAGGTTTATTGATCAGGGAAACACATCTAAACTAGCTTTGAAAGGGGCAAAGATCGATATCAAAGGTTCCACGTCACAACAGATCCCACATCTGATGTGACGTCGAATCTGTAATAGTGTGACATTGTCTTTTCATCAGTATCAATTTACAGATCCACCAAGTCAATGATGCCCACTTATCTACAAGAAAACAAATCGGGACTGATCGTGTACATAGCAGTAGTACAAGCCAAGTACGATCAAGGACAAGGCTGTCAAATGAATTCATCTCTAGGTATCTTTGGCAGAGTCGATTCCCCATTCGCAGTCAGAAGCCCAATCTACTGTCATCTGAACTTAAAGAAAGAATATGACTACAAACTGAAGTGAATTTTGTCCGTCGTAACAGGTAGAACGTCCTAAAGAGTCCACAACCGCTTCCCTCACTGACTTCAAGGATATTTTGTCCGTTTCATATATAAAATGTAAGCATCATCGGTGTGAGAGGGAACAACACTCAGTTCTGTTGTTTGACAGCATTCTCTTTAGCAGGTTTTAGTTCCCGAATTAGAATATTAGGCGTTGAGGAAGATTTCTCGTTTGTCCAGCTATGTGGATTCAGAATGTAGAGGTTCCATGTACAGTAGGCTCAAGTCAGGAACGTGAATCGCATAAGATTGACATTCTGTGGTAGTATTATGATATTGAGATGAAAGGAGGCCACTCCAGCTGGCCTCCTTTCATTTCAATATCATAATACTACCACAGCACATAAACTACGGAGTGGCTGACTACCCATTTACCGAGACAATGACTGAACATTACATATGCCCTCCATTCGAGATACAAGACGACCGGCCTTTGAGGATGCCAAAGATCCCACAAGCAGAACGCGTTGGTCGTGAAAGTGACCATTTCTCTTCCAGATTCTAAATCTTTTCAGACGAGCATATATGATGGAGGACTGTGCTGCGACCTAAGCGCTGGAGTGCCGGAATTCAGATTTTCTTCCGATCTTCTGAATGGCAACCCTTCAGCCAACTGCAAGGAGGTCAAAGTCAAACGCCTCTTCACAAAAACATTGCGAATATCTGAAGTTTGAAGTAGACGCCCTTTGCAGCAGAACAGACTCATGTATCTGATCTGATCCATGCAGAAATTTGTTCTCTTTGTGAATAAGTGGAAGGCACTCGACGAACAGTTTTGAAACTACCCATCCTGTTGACAGCAGCTAGACTCTCAATTGACAATCCCTTTGAATTCCAGCTTCCTCCTACCTCAGATACGACTCATGGAGTATGAGTAAGCCTCCTTTCTATAAACTGAAAGGGCGGCCCTCATTCTCCGGAACGGTAGCGCGAATGATTTGAATGTAATCTGCAATCTTTCTCGTAATCAGGGCCACTCGAGTCTACTGATCCAGAGCCAAGATACCTGGTGGTCCCCTCATGAAAATTGATAAATGGTTCGATAGTTTATTTATCGGAAGTCCAAAAGGCAACATGGGTTATGCAACATAGGTTTTCCATCCACTAGAACCACGTCCAGTACTGTAACTTGTAATCTGCTGCTGGCTCCTGCCCTCTGTCGGCAACTTCGATGAACCTCGACTCGTACTCTCTTGTTCTTTCCAGTACTTGAGGGGTCATGTTCTACCAACGAGTTTTGTCCCAATAGCCTGTATTCCATTCTCTCGAGATCGTAACCTGCACAACTTTCCGAGTCTCAAAGGATAGCCTCCTCCTCGTTCGGTAGATGAACGTTTCGTTACTCTTAAGAGCTTCAAGTGGAGGCTTAAGCCCTGTAACCCTCTTCATGCTTTCCATATAAGTGTTCTCGATCGATCCTCGATCCCCTCCGAGCTTCTAGGATCTCCATATTTCGGGTGGCCTCAGCTTTCTTCCATGGATGGCAGACTTCAGGCGCTCGTCCTGGAGTCGTGGCTTTGTGGGGTGCTCTTCAATGGGACGTGGTCGACTCTTCGGGGTTATCGAATTCGCTTCAGTCCGGAAGCAGAGCAATGATCGCAACCCTTCAGTTGGCCGCATCGTCGCTGGTAGCGTTTTTGGCTCGAGAATTCAGAATGCGCATTTTTAAAATTTGACTGTCTTTCCAAAGGCTGACCCTCATTCATTCATGCCAGCACAAGCTACATGTTACATCTCTCGAGTGTTGTCACGACTGATTACTGGTGCCCACAGACTGAGCGCTCATGATATTCTCCTTGATTTCTTCGAATGTCAGAAATTGCATTTAAAGCGCACGAATCTCATCCTCAGGGGCCTTATCATCTTCTCCTTGCCTAATGTCCTAATTGAGATGTGTTATACATGTTCATGACTAAAGCTCTAGTGCTCGCTCTGTCGTCCCCTTTCCGCCGAGCACTGGAGTTCTGTTTTTTCCTGCTGTCTGCTAATTCTGAGCAGCGGGCTATAGTAAGAGGTGGCTGCAAGCTTGTCAGACGTCTAGTACCATGGACTGTGTTCAATGAAGGAAGCTCGGAGGTGTGTGATTGGGTTATGGCTATGAAAATGAAGCAATCGAGGACTGAGAGAAAGAATCCAGCAGAAGGTGGCTCCGACTAGTTCTTCGATGGACGGATCCACTGCAGACAGTTTCAGTACAAGGACTGAAAATTGTTTCATATTTCAGATGGAGATGATGGTCGTAGTCCTTATCACTGTGGCAAAGAGTTTCTTTCCTGAGTTTCCGATAATTCGGCATTTACTCCATGAAAATGTGAGAAAAAGCGCCAAAGTCGATGAATTGCTAGCTACATGTGCGACTGAGTGTGTATACTACTGGTTTGAAAACCTCAACTGCACGAGGCCATAGCACGAATTCAACCTTCGCTCCTCTGCTGCCTTATTTCCACCACGACAAAGCTTGAAGCATCATGATAGCATGAATAATAAGCTACTACTGACTGTTCGTTTCCCTACTTCCGCTGGCAAACATGAATTTCTATCATCGATCGAAATTGCCAGCAGACGATGGTCGGAAGTTGTGTCCTCCCGTAAATGAATGAATGAATGAATGTCCTTCATGATCTCACGGCAATCGTGTGCATCTGGATCATCGCAATTGTCTCTAGATCGGCCATCCATCTTCCATCACGGTCGTGGTCATGGACCGAGCGAACTATCCGTTGGTTGGTGGAATGACCGACTCACTATAACTCCCTCAAACACGTCCTTCACGCAAAGAAAATGATCGATTCGGAGCTGCCGCAATGACGAGACGAGCTTAGACGAGACCACACAGTCGTGCATCCGCAACATGACCCTGATCGACCGATCCATCCATCGACTGACCGACCGATCGACCGATCGACCGACCGATTGGTTGGGCTGGACTGGATTGGATTGGATTGGTTTGATTGGTTGACCGAATGCTTAGAGAGCAACCTCGAGTTTAAGTTGGACACCGCGATACTGCATCAAATTGGAGTTGCTCAGAAAGATTGCCACGAAATACAATCAGTCATAAATACTCCTCCAAGTCATTCGAAGGCCGCATGAATGGCCTCAGACCATACCAGCTAAATAAATGTGGGCTGACCAGCAGCTAGCGAGCGGTACTTACACCAAAGCCCCGTTCAGAACTCGATGGTGCACGGTCCCCCAGTCGGAGTTCTACTGGTCCCTCTTCGAACTCCTTGGCCGAAAGAGTTGATGTCATCATGCCTATTAGTGACCCCCTTCCCTCCCCTCCTTCCTTTCGCTAGGCTCAGCTCGACAAATTAGCGCAACCTGCCATCAGCACTCCTCATCAGAACTCAACGTTGCACTGACTGACTGACGGACTGACTGCTGCTCCAAATCAGATGCAGACGAATTTTCTTATAAAATCAAAGCAACGATCCTTCCGTCTCCGGCGCGTCCTCGTGTTGGAATTTTCTCTCTGGTCGAGACAGATATTCAGCATGAGAAGGAGATGGAGTGTTACAGCAGCATGATCAATCATTCGAGAGGAATTTGGAATTCGGGCACGGGGATGGATGAGTGACTTAAACGTCGGGAGTTTCTCGAGAGCGCATGAGGACAGCACCTGGTTGTTCAGAAGCTAGAATCTGAATCGGAGTGGCCGTGGAAGGTCACGACGTTGTTGGTTTTGCACTTGCTGAACTGGTCGATCGAGGGCCACGCACGCTCGACGCCATGGTTCTCTCTGATGTGGTGAAGCCTGTCGCGGACTTGCTCCATGGTGGGTCGCTTGTCGGGGTCGTCGTGCGTGCAGAGGAGGGCCACTTCCAGGACCAACTGCACCTGCTTCATCTGATTCTCCTCGCCGAAGCGCACCTTCTTCGTCGTGGGACTCGGTTGGCCCGAGTGAGGGAACGGGTTCGTGGGGCTCGGAGTACCGGACGACGGAAATCCTGGACTGCTGTTAGATTTCACCGGGTGCTCTTTGGAGCACGCCTTCTGATTCAGCAGGAAATGGTCGATCACGTCCAGAATGTCGTCGCAGTCCGGCGAAGTGCACGCGTTCATCACCCACTTCCGCAAAGTCTTGTCCTCGTCGAACGAGCTGTCCGTCGGCGACTTGCCCGTGAACAACTCCAGCAGCACCACTCCGAAGCTGTACACGTCGCCCTTCGTCGACACCCTGGACAGCGTCCCATATTCTGCACCACCGACAATTCATCAAGGATCGGCCTTTTCTGGGCAGGAACAGAAATCCAGCGAGAAACGAGAAACCGCTCAAGCTCTTCCGATCATCATCCTTCCAAGGAGCAGCAAAATTTCAACGATGTAATACGCGAGCATCGAGACGACCAAATTTCCGAAGCATTCCTGCTGCGGAAATTTGACCATGGCATATACCTGGGGCCATGTAGCCGGCGGTGCCGACGACGGAGAGGGCGGTGGACTCGCCGTACTCGGCATTGCTGCGGGGGTTGACGAATTTGGCGATGCTGAAGTCGGTGACTTTGGGGTTGAAGTCGTCGTCCAGGAGGATGTTGCTGGGCTTGATGTCGAGGTGCAGGATCGGGGTCTCGAACTCGTGGTGCAAGAAGGCCAGCGCGTCCGCCACGCCCGTGGTAATTTTGAGCCGCGCCTCGAGCGGCATTTCGCACTTGCCGTTCTCCACCTCGTGCAGATGGTCGTGCAGGCTGCCATTCGACACGTACTCGACGAGCAGGCACTTCATGCTCGAGTAGCACACGCCCATGATGCGCACCAGGTTCCGATGGCGCAGCGACCCCAGCGCCTCCATCTCTCGGATCATGCGCCACTGCCCCTTCTTGTCGTTGCGCTCGTCCAGCCCCATCTCCAGCTTCTTGGCCGCCACCACCGTCACCTTGCCCTCGGGCACGCGCACTCGGTACACCGTGCTCCCGGATCCACGCCCGACGATGTTCCGCTCGTCCGACGTCGCCGCCTCCAGCTCCTTCGCCGTGATCATCAGCCGCTCCTCCAGATCGCACCCGAAGATCACCACCGGCGCCTTGCGCCCCACGCAGAAGCAGATCATCGCCCCGGCCACCAGCATCGCGAACACGACCCCCGCCACCGCCAGGCACACCAGCAGAATCTGGTGACACCGCCACCCATCGCACCGGCCTCCGAGGAGCGGCGGCGCCACTGGCGTCGTCACGGGCTTGCAAGGCGCGAGCGGGGCGCCGCAGAGCGCCGGGTTGTTGAGAAACGAGGTCGGCGGGAGCGAGCTGAACTGCGCCCCTGTGGGCAGCCGGCCCGAGAGCACATTGTTCGACACATTGAAGAAGGTGAGCGCCGTCAGGGCCGAGAGCTCGCTCGGGATCTGGCCTGAGAGCTCGTTCAGCGAGAGGTCCAGGCCCTGGAGCTGCGTCAGGTTGCCGATGCTCGGCGGGATGGTCCCGTTCAGCAGATTCTTCGCCACGCCCAGGAACACGAGGCCCGTCAGGTCGCCGACCTGCGGGGGGATGCCGCCCATGAAGTGGTTCGAGCTGAGGTCGATGGTCGCCGTCACGAACGCCAGCGCGTTCCCCAGCGAGAGATCTCGCGCCTTGCCGTCCGTCAGCTGCACAGCTGCCATCTCGTACAGCCGGTCCCGCGACATGGGCGCGCTCGCGCCGCTCGGCTGGACGAGCCCGTCGAGGTTCCCGAGCTCCGGCGGAATGTAGCCCCAGAAGTAATTGTACGACAAATCGAGCACCTTGAGCGAGCGCAGGATGGTGACCCAGAGCGGAAATTCCCCGGACAGGCTGTTGTGCGCCACCGTGAGAACGATCAGCGAGTCCGCGAGGCTGTCCAGGTCCAGGCTCGATGGCAGGCTCCCATTCAGATAATTCCTTGACAGATCCAGCACCTGCAGCGACGAGCAGTTTCCGATCGAGTCCGGAATGGGGCCCCAGAACCGATTGTTCGACAGTGACAGCGTCCGCAGGCTGAGCCCGAAATTCTGGCCGAACGAGGGCGGAATCTGGCCCTCGAGCTTGTTGTTCGTCAGCGCCAGGTGCTCCAGGGACGGACAGTTTCCGAGCTCTGGCGGGAGCACACCGCTGAAGTAATTGTACGCCAAGGAGAGGTAGCGGAGAGTGGCCATGGACCCGAAGAATCCCGGGATCGTCCCGCTGAGGGAGTTGTAGGATAGATCCAGAGCTCTGATTTGCAATGGCTCCCACGACCATGGAATGCCGCCATAGAGATTGTTGTGCGACAGCAGCGTGATGTCGGCCACCGTCGAGGGCAGCGCGGACGAGAGGCTGTTGTAGGAGAGATCGAGAACGCTGACGCCGACGGTCGTGTCGTTGAAGGCGATGCTGGGGATGGAGCCCGTGAGATGGTTCCGCGACAGGTTGAGCTCGCTGAGCAGAGGGAACGAGCCGGCGAAGACCGCCGGGATGGCGCCCGTCAGCAGGTTGTTCCCCAGGTACAGCATCTCGAGCTTCGCGAGCTTGGAGATGCCCGGCGGGATTTCTCCCGTCAGATTGCAGCTCTCGAAGGAGATGACCCTCGTGTCCGGCAGAATGTTAGCGATGTCGTCGAGCACGCTGACGCGCAGCCCGGCATTGTTGTCGAGGATGATGGTGTCCAGGCCAACGTCGCCCACGTCGTTCAGATGGCTCCAGGACGGGGGAACGCTGCCCTGCAGCAAGTTGTTGGACAGAATGAGCTCCCGGAATCGCGTGCTGTTGATGAGTCCCAGCGTCGGGTCGAAGTCCGTGATTCGATTCCACGACACGTCCAAGCTCTGCAATTCGGGCTCGTCCTGAATGAGATTAACGGGAATTCTGCTGAACTGATTGTCCGCGAGGTTGAGGGACTCGCAGCCCAGAGTCGGTCGCGTCTCCGAATTCGCGTCGACGAGTTGGTTTGAGGATAGGTCCAGGTGCCGCACTGGGGGCAAATTCGACGGGAAGACCTGGAATTGGTTGTTGTCGAGGTACAGATCCGTCAAGTGCAGGACGCCGAAGGCGTCGGGCAGCGCCGAGAGCGAATTCCACGACAGTAGCAGCATCCTCAGCGACGGCGCCACCGTGTCCCACGACGACGCCGGCAGAGAGTCAATCTGATTGTGGGACACGTCCAGTCTGCTCAGCTGCGAGAGGTTCAGCAGCATCTCGGGGAATGTGTGCAGAGCATTGTCGCGCAGGTTCAGAGCCGCGAGGCTGCTGAGGCCTCCGGCCGACGTCGGCAGGGCCGAGATGTTGTTGGACGACACGGTGAGCTTCACGAGGCTCGTCATCTTGCCCACGGAGAATGGCAATGTCTGCAGCGAGTTGTAGTCCAGCAGGAGGGTCTTGAGGTTGGGCAATTTGGTCACGGAGTCCGGAATCCACGTGATGTAGTTGCGCGACAGGTCGAGCTCGATGAGCTTGTTCCATCCGTCGAACGACGCCGGGATGCTGCTGATGAAATTCGACGACATCAGCAGCGCCTCGAGCCGGCATGGGCTCGAGGGGGCGGTGAAATTCCATAGCCTGTTGAACGAGAGGTCCAGGCGCCTCAAGTTGGTCAGCTCGAGGAACACCTGCGGGAACACCTGGATCTGGTTCCGTGACAGCGACACGGACGAGAGGTTCGCGAGGCCGACCAGAGAATCGGGCACGGACGAGATGAAATTGCCCACCAGCGACAGGCTTTCCAAGCTGGTCAGGTTCCCGAAGGAGGCTGGTATCGAGGGAAGTCTGAGCCCCAAATTCGGCGGCAGCCGGAGGACGGTGACGGAGTTCCCAGGGCCGCACTTGACGAAATCCCAGTTCTGCGCGCAGCAGTCCGAGTCGAGCTGCCACGATTGGAACAGACCCACGTACGCGGACGGGACCAGAGCCTTGAGGTCTATGAGTGCCTGCCTCTCGAGCATAGAGCATCCCTCCACGCCCTGCGCTATCCAACCTGCGGCCTGAACCACTACCCACAGCAGCCACCACGTCGCCAAGAGCTCGGTCCTCGTCCTCGTCCTGATCCTACATTCTCCAGCTGCCATGGATCCCCTCATGGGCGGTGCAGCGAGGTCAGAAGCGAGGAATCGCTTCCGCCTGGCGTCCGGGCCCGAGTCCTGTCGGGTCGTCAATTTCATGAATTCGCCAAATTGCTCTCTCGCTTGTCACGACTAATCGGCCAATTAACCCCCAGCGTGGGGGTGGGGAGCAGATCGGAAGATTCGATCCGAACAACTGACAGTTTCAAACTACGCTAGACTACAACTAATCTCTCTCTCTCTCTCTCTCTCTCTCTCTCTCTCTCTCTCTCTCTCTCTCTCTCTCTCTCTCTCTCTCTCTCTCTGCGTCGCTCGCTCGCTCTCTCGATCACTCGAATGGGAAGGGTCGAGATGCATGCCGGTCGTCAATCTGGCACAACGGAGAGACGACCAGCCAGACGCACACACACTCGCTCGGTAGGCCCCGCTCGTGCGCGCCTCTGGCAGGCGAGAACCGAGCCGATTCGATTCGATCAGCCTTCGCTCATAAGGCTCGTCGCTTCTTCATCGTTTCTCGCTCTCGCGGTGTTACGAGCTCTCGTGGCATGGGATGCAGGGAGGCAGGGAGGCAGGGAGGCAGGGAGTGAGTGCGAGTCGGAGTGCGTCGGGGTTCGTGAGCGGTTTGATGCGGAGCGGGGCCACTGTGGGGTTCGATGGGGCGCTGCGCCATGGCGTGAGCGAGCACGTGACCTCGCGCGGCCCTCCGAGAGGTAGGTGCGTCGGGAAATCGAGCTCGTGCGGATTTCTGCGCCCGCGAGCGATTCCAGCCCCGGCGGAAGGCATAGCATGTGCTCGCACTCCGCGCGAACGAGCTCGGATCATGTGTCACAGCGAGCCAGCCCCGCCCCGGGCCCGAAATGATTTGAACTCCTGAGCAATCCATGGGCTCGCGCGACCCCGTCTTTGACTGGCGACATTCGTGGCCGGCTCATCCCGCCACGATCGCGCATGTCTCCGCCCTCCGCTGTCATCGTCCCCGCGGCGCCAGAATTGGCCGCCCTCCCTCCCTCTCCTGCCCCCTCAATCCTCCGTTCTCTCGATGTTCGCCTCCGTCGCTGCTGTCGTGAATTTCGCCCCCGTCGTCAGAGACCTCCTTTGCGCTTGCTCTCGGTCTCCATCCATGCACGCGAGATCGCACTTTTGCCAATCACGGTCGGCATTCTGCGCGTCGTTCCCCTTCCTGCGACTGGCGAAGTACAAAACGAAAAGGGATGATAACGGGAAAGTGAATCTGGCTTTCTGGCTGAAAGAGAATATATTGGTTGAATGGAGGAATAAGCTCGAAATGCTTGAGCATAATAAAAAATTTACTCTAATCATCTTTTTTTCTAATCCGTTGGAAATCTAATGACTTATATTAAACTCAGTGCACCACAATAAATCACAATGAATGTACTACGACAATAAACCCGTCGAATTTGTCAAGCATTGCTTAAAAACATACATTTACAAACTGTAGTGAAGTATTACATTCACTTCTTAGAGTTACAATCTAAATCCAAATTGTAAAGCATTTGGAGTTTTCAGATTTCTTGCATTGACATATTTTTAAGCCCAGTGAAGTTGATATACCTTTTCACTTCAGGTTAAGGAATGTCGTTTGCAGTTCCAAACTTTCGAAGAAAAGGTGATACCGTTAGCTAACGAACAGAACAGAACAGAAATGTGGTCAAAGGTTGTGGACGGAACAGGTGAAGGAGGTGAAGGTCGACGGGCTGCCTTGGAATGGAAAGCCGGCAAGTTGCTTTGCTTGCAGAGGAGCCAACAGGCTCCATGGAACAGGCTGGCTGGCGGCCGGACTTTGCTGCACGCTTGCGTCCCATCTCAAATTAACAGTGACGACTACTATTGTGACTACAGTCGCCTCCTCTGGATAGAATTACGAGCCGCTGGTTGGGGCAGCTCTTTTATGTCTACGCAGTTCTCTCCATTTATAGAGTTTAGATCACTGTTATTTTGACTCGGTTTATTGAGCTTAACCGGAATTTGATCTGGCTGTTTTCACTGTAACCGGCAAATCTGACAGTATCCCCCGTATCTTCGTTCCGGTTGCCGGTGTACGTCAGCAAAGCCTAATTTGGTTCCAGATTTCCTTATTTCATTTTGGACATTGGACCCGTATAATCAAATTGGTAATAAACTTAATGTGTGTGCGACTAATCGGATCCTCGCTCTTAATTATATTCACAATTACCTTCCCCAAATCAGGTCCACGAGACTGTTTTTCTCTACATGTAAAAGTATAGCAATATAAAAATACATGTATGACTCCGAAATTCATTCTATGAAGACGGCAAATTTACTTCGTCTCGTCACAGACAACGAATTCGATATTTTCCTCTGTTTCAGTAGCTTTTTTCCCATCTAAATCTCTATCTGAGGTACACTCACTGCATCTGCGACCCCATAGCTCAACTTTTTGCACTTATAACAAGACGGAAATTGCATACAATATTGCGTAGGACTGAAACGAAGGAGGTGAATGTACCCCCGAATCAACAATTAATGCCACGTAGGCGCTTATGTAGATATCACCATATCAACACGATAGCAATGTCGGCTTTTCTAAATAAGTATTATATATCTTGCATGATCTAAAGTATCTGAGTACTTTTCCCACAAGGGACTCCTCTCACTTTTGACCGCATCCTGTACATCCAACTTCTTTCAACCTGGAATATGCAAACATGACGCAAAGAATCATATAATTTTGTTTCTTACAAACAGAGCCACACTTTTCCTATCCCAAGATATATTTCAGGGTTTCAACATTTTCAGCTGGAAATCTGGTCGAAGGGATTCTTGTGGAAAGCATAAGCTCGGAACTCTTAAGAAAACATACTCAAATCTGCATCAATTAGGGAAAATTATGGAACACTCAAATACTTTCATAGAATACGGTGGCCACTTGGACCCGGGAACACATTCCACGGAGATGAAACACCTGCTGTCGAAAAAGCAATCAGGATATCTTCGTTGAAAAACCCGCTGTCATCAAGACGAGGTTTTGAAAAGGAGATTTGAAGTGATATAGCACTCATCCAGACCAACACAAGCTCGCAATGCTTTGTCGCCTGTCGCATGTATACCAGTCAAACTGGAGTCTTGGTTATTGTGCTAGTTCATGCCATGAAATACCTGACCATGAATCCCTCCAGTTTGAGCCATGACCAATAAAGATAATAGTGCAGCTGGCAGCTTCTCGTGAAAAACATGTGCACAATCGAAACTCTCATTACCGTACCCAAGATGCTCAGAAGGTGATATGCAATGGCAATCATGCTCCCAATGATAGATGGATCTTCGAATTTCAGATGTTCCCTAAACCTGGAATCTGATCCACCAACACAGCTTTCTCAGATGTGCTCCGTCCCATCTACTTTCCTCTAGATCTGATTCGAGGTCTCCACTGAAGTTTCACTTCTGTCCAGGAGGTCGCCACTGTGTAGCTACGGGTGCATTACGAACATCTAAATTTATCTCGTCTTTGAAGTTTAAATTACATCAGATTCAACTTCACTAGTTAGAAGCTGTAAAATGAAAACAATGACAATATGTGTCATCTAAAAAACAGCTTTTCGAATATGTCAATGAAGTGAATCATTGAGAAATATGAAATGAACTATGAAAGGAGTGTGACTACTTCTTTCGAGATTCAGTGTATGCTGATGTCAGTTCCAGTTTACAAAGAAACGTCTGTTAGCCGGTGCTGCTCCCATGCGCATGTGCAGTATGGTGCAACGTAGGGTGAGATGTAGTTTGTCATATGTAACATAGTTACAGATGGTTGTAATACCTTTGCACTGCATGTTTGTTCGTATTTTATACGTGCATGAATCTTCATATAACTTTTGACTTCTAGTCTGTCATATCAATTCTTCTTTGGCCCCTTCCTCATCTCTGTGATCTCTTCCTTATCCCTGTTATGCACCTTGTCAAGAGATTCTTCTCTTGTCTTTCTTGTCAACTTCGGAAGGAACATGTCTCAAGAGCTACAAACACTATAAAAGTCTCTCCTTCAGAAAGCGTCTCATGATCAATAGTTTTGTTGCAAATATTGTCCAATGCATACTCGTCTATCTTTATGAACAATTGCATGACAACAATGAAATTTGTTCAATCAAAGGATTGGCTCACTTACTTTAGTAGAACACGGCATGAAAGCTTTGACTGAATGGTAGCTGAGCTTGAACTGCAACGATTTATTAACTCCTATCTGCTGAATGTACATATCTATCAAAGCAAGCATGGATACGGGGTACACGACATATTAAAGCTTTGCTCGATAAGTTTTGAAAATCGTACACTGAGTTCTTCGAGTTTCTCACTCAAACAAGAAGAAAAAAGTGGATACTCTGGCCAGCTTAAGGAAAATATTTTACTGTTGTCTTATTTGTTAACTCCATGTTATCAACATTATACTATTCATACATCAAGGTTAAAATTCCACTAGGATTTTCTTAATCATGAAATGAAATTTTACCAACAGACAGATAATAATAACATGTAAATTTAAAAATTAATTTCAGATTACATTTAAATTAATACATTAGAAAAAAAATAAGAATTTCTTTTCAAAATTTCTTTGTAATAAATAATTAGTATCATCAAAGTTTTTATATCCCCTTTAGATTTGAGTTTGTTTGACAAAACTGAAGTGAATAAATATTCCATTTGTTAATCTCATATTCTTTTATGTTGGTATGTGGAGTCAAGAAAAAAAAATCGAAATTTTTCCCTTGAAAATTTTCTTTTGCATATATTTTACATTTTCTTTGAACAAATTTAATATTCTTACAAGAATTTCAGGCATATTGTGATGAAAGTATATAAAAATCAAGTCACATTGCATACACATAATTCACATCACATTGAATGTGCATAAATTACCGCAAAAATGAAAAGTATTAGCTTCTTAAGAGGATGATATTCAAGTGCTCTAACATAGATCAAAAAATAATGTATGTTAAAAAATAAGAGACCAATGTCAAAAATTCTCCATGACCTAACACAAACATACATTTAAACCCAGAAATACAGTTCACATTGGTGAGTCTAAGTATCAAGATCACAAAACATTTATGTAAATATTGTATTTTTTTGTTGCATAGATTTTTTTCCAGATAAGTTATACAATGTAATTTAACTCATCTAACTATTCATATTCATCCTAATTACAATTGATCAAATAACTAAATGAACTCATAACAAAAATTTTGTAAATCATATTTTGAAATTCATAGCTTCCATTATTAATATGAATATTCATTGGGTAGTCTTGGAAATCCAAACATATATTATAGTGTTAATTAGTGTAAGATTAATCGTATTGTATTTAATCTAACTGTAGTTAGGCTTGATCTCTAGTTATGGTTTGTTCGGCTTGTAGTTTGGATATTTATTTATAATGAAGAGTACTTTTCAGTTCAATTTCATATTTACACATGACAGAGAAATATAGGCGAGAGCTTGACTATGAAGATCTGATGTAATTTTTTTGCTTTAAAGAAGTGTCAGCGGTAGACGTTAACTCATGTGGAGATGACTTACGTACATCAGTGTGTGATTTTTGTTGCGCTGAACCTACAATTAGAGTTAACTGAAATTAGTCATTAATTTTAGTTAATTAATCTTGCTTTGATTATAGTCAAAAAATGGTTTATTTCAGTTATATATATGTAGAATATGTTTATCTCATTCAGTCTATTTGTGATTTTTATCAAAAACCTATGTAATAACACAATGTCTTCACAAACTTTTGAAATTTGTTTTTTATCATCAACAAGATTAGTTTTATTGTCAATTTTGAATGAATCTACCTTTTAATCATAAATTAAAATATTCAATAATTTGAACATTGATGGCTTTATAGTTTATTTTGTTATTCATAACTTGATTTGTTGTGATGCTTTTTGTTCTCCCCAAAAAAATATCCTGTCAATCTATTTTCACTTGCTATCTAAAGACTTATTATGAAAATAAAATGATATAAATTTTAAATTGGGAGCAGGAACATATGATTTGAATATTATTATAATATTTTTATTTTAATTTCATTTCATATTCAGTCTTAATATAATTTATCAAGTATTTGAATTTTTCTAATAATCATCAAATATAAAATATTTTTTTAATGTATTGTAAAATAAAATCACAACTTTTA